ACACACACACACACACACACACACACACACACAGAGGTTTGAGTAAAGATGGTGGAGAGCTGAGTGCTGATCTGTGACTCTGTGATGTAGTTCACACAGAGAGGTTTCAGAAGGAGAACCTCCTCCTCTGTGTCCTCACACTGACTCACTGCAGTAACTGCAGGTACATTAGACACAGTGAGAACAACCTACAGCGACTGTATGAGCACTCTGACTGCATCCCTTTGTGCAATAATATCTACATTTTATATGAGAACTCATTTATCACTTATACTGAGAGACCATCTGAATGTGAGATGTTACATTCTGATTTATTCTTATGACAAACTGATATTTAATTCCAATAGCGCCCTCTGTTGGTCCACAAGGCAAACTACTTCAACCTGTGTGTTTCCCTCACAGACTGTAAATGTTGAATTCAAACAGGTCATTACAGTCAGTATCACATTATTTTCAACCATTTGAACTAAAGTCCTCATTTCCAATAAAAGTCAGAGCCCTAAAATCAAATAATAGTCAACCCTGAACATTAAGATAATTCACTGAAGCATTTAGTTCTTATGGATCTGAACAATAGTATGTGACACCTTATGGTCAAACAGTGAGCAGCTGACTGTTAGATAACTGCTCTGACCTTTCCTCATTTATTCTAAAGAGTGTGAAGAATCAAACACTCAGATATGTTTCACAATAAAAGAGGATATTAAAACTTCATTAGACAAAATCCTGCTGTTGCATTTATGTTTTTGTGAGTCTGAAAATGATCCTGATAATAAACAGTAAACTACAGTAAGTCTGATTTATATGGCTCTATATCACATAGTAATAACAAGTAGTTTATTTAACACCAACTGTGTGTGTGTGTGTGTGTGTGTGTGTGTGTGTGTGTGTGTGTGTGTGTGTGTGTGTGTGTGTGTGTGTGTGTGTGTGTGTGTGTGTGGAACTTTTAATGAAAGCAGAACACTGTAATGTTCATAATATCTGACCTTTCATTAAAATTGGTGATGTTTGCTTTTGACTGATCACTCTTAAAGGACACATTGGATGTGGTCGACTCGTCACTGTCACTGTCACTGGTTCTGGTTCTGGTTCTGTTGGACAAGAGAGAAAGACCACCAGGGTGGTAAATTAGATTGTGATCCATCAGCCACAGCAACTGCTGATACACAGAAACTACCAAGTAGACATCAGAAAAGTTCAGTAATAGTTGATTCTGTTCCCACTGAATGATTTCTCTCCTCTTTTTAAAGTAGTTTCCTCTACTTCTCACTTTAACATGAATTATTATTAGATTATTCTAGGACAATAGGAACATTATGAGGGTTATATATTATAATATTTACTGTTGTTGATCTTCAATAAAATAAAGTTCATTGAACTGAAATACGCTCAAACAAAAAACAGAAACAGAAATAAATAAAGCTGACAAACAGAAGGTAACAGTTATTTGTCTACACAGCAATAGCAGCACATCAGCTAACATAGATATTAAAACATTAAAGTTACACAATAATGACTTACTCCATGTCCCATAATCCAGTGCTGTCTGTTGACCAGTAGCTCTCACTGTAAAACAACACATACAGGTTGAAGTGGTGAAGTGTGGGGAGCCTCAATAGTTCACTTAGTAGCAATGGCGATTCTGGGGGGTGGCCTGGGATGGCCGGGGCCACCCCTGAGAGCTCATTGGCCACCCCAGATCTGATAGGTAGTTGGTCAAGTTCGTCAACACAAGAAACAAGAGAAATGCTGTCAATCAATGATGACAGCTGATCAACTGCTTTAGGGCCAGTTTTACATTTTTAACTAACACAGTAATGGTCGTACTGAGGCTGTAAGAGCTGATTTCTGCTCAGCGGACGTTTGGCCATGCAGGTCAGGTGACCCATGAGAGGAGCACGCTGCACCTGCTGCTGGTCCACGAAACAGGAGGACGGTCACAGTTACAACATCAACAACACAACAACGATAAAAACGCTGAAATCTGTCGATTGAGAGGAATGGTAATTTAATGTTTAGTTATATCGTAGTTCCCTCTGAATGTGGAGGAAAACTTTATCTAGCACTAAGTAGCAGCTAAAGGTCCAACTACACTGCACTAGGTAGCTTAGCAGCCTGCAAACCAAGTTAAGCATTGAATGTTAGCATTTTGTTTTTTTAATTGTTATTTGGATACCGCCATGAAATATGAAACGCTATTTTCTGCAGATGTGTGTGTTCAATAGAGCTAATGTTATATTTTTGGCCAACCGGTGTGTGAAATATAGAGTGACAGTCTAGATTTAAGTAGCTATAACACAAGAACAAGCTGTGACTTATTTATTTGCTCTGTGCTTTAAGGGCTGTTTAAAGACTTATTTCTCTTGGAGATAAAGGACTTTTTGTTTCTATCAATTAGCTCATCTTCACAGTTCACATGTTTTCAGACGTTTAAATAGACAGAGGCAGAGCAAATTGCATCAAATGCCACAAATGCTTGAGATGCAATATGTGTTGATTGTGTTATTAAAAGTGAGTGGTTAGAGTGGTAGTTGTGTAAAAATAAACCTTTGTAAATCCTATAAATAGACATAATTAGGCACATTGTTGACACCTCCTTTCTTTTTGACATTTTAATGGAGTCAAAGTTGTTATTTAAGGGAGAGCTCCACCAACACCTGTATTTTGCACACTGATTCTAACCCAATTTGACAATGATCCTGCTTGATGTTTGTAGTTATAGCTGTTACTTCAAAGTGAATTGACTGACTGATTGAGTGATTGAATTACATTTCCCCCAGGGATATTAAGAGAATAGTTATGAAGAGAAGCAGAGATATTCAGAGCTTCTTCAAAAAAGAAAAGAGTCAGAGCCAGCCAGAGCTTCTACCAGCAGCAGTGAAAAGGCTCAGTCAGGTCAGCAGCCTAGGTACAGCAGTAGTGATGAAGAGCAGTCAGCTCCTCCTGCACAGGATGGTAAGTCATGCTTGGATAGTTTGAATTTACCATGTATGCTCACATTCAAGTTGTTTGTCACTCTCCAGTTATACAATTACAACTGTCTGAAACATCGCTACACAAGAACAATAGTTAAAATGTGCATAATACATAAATACACACACACAAGTATGTATGTATGTATGTATGTACATATGTATGATTGTGTGAGTGTAAAAAAATAAATATATATATTTGTGTGTGTGTGTGTGTGTGTGTGTGTGTGGCAGAACCTCCAGCCTATTGATGTCTCAGATTTTTCAGATATCTGTGTATTCCCACAGCTGACCAGCAACACCCAGAGGAGGATCCAGCGGTGTCTGGAGCTCCACCTGCTGAGCATGGTATGTCAAGTTCTGTTATGTCCAGAAATGTCATTCATGAACAGTTACCTGAAGTTGTCGTGTACTCTCTCACTTGATTTAATTTAAAAAGGACGGTCCAATTTTGCCCAAAGTGTATGCTATTCATTTGCTAATACACAGCAAACCCCACACTTAAACATAGACAATCTATTCTTTAAATCTCAATACAAAACATTATGAAAAGACAAAGGAAAATGTGTGACACTAATCTGTCCACATACAGTCTATGGGTGTAATGGTTATTGTTTTTACTACTTCAGGTACTTCATCTAGTGAGCAAAGTGATTCGAACCGTGGGCGGCTGTGTACGTATACGCATTAAACTTCGCTATGCCATGGCCACCCCACACTAGCTTTGGGTCCCATCTTGGCCACCCCAGTAAAAATATCCTGGATACACCACTGCTTAGTAGAGCTCATGACCCTGAACTAAGTCTGACTGACTGTTGTCTACGAGCTTCAGTCTGGCTGTCCAGACTCAGTGACATCTCCCTTTCTGTTGAGAGCCTTGACCCAGTAAATGATCAAACAGTGAGCTGTTGACTATTAGGAACATTATGAGGCTGCAAAGGTCTGAATATTTACAGTTGTTGATCTTCAATAAAATAAAGTTGATTGAACTTCAGTGTCAGTGTGGATACAACAGATACAAGTGACAGAAAAGATGAATGTAACTAAACTAAAGAGGTTTTCATGATGTTCACAGCTTCATCAATATATTATGTATGAAAGAATCTTTATGAGGTTAACAGATTATACTCACCGTTCTTTCTGCATCTCCTCCCTGCAGAAAGTAATAAACAGTGTTATGAAACTCCTTCATCAGTATGAAAATAAACATTAAAAACTAAAGAAACAGGATTTCAAATATGAGAACAGTGAGTGGAAAAAGACAAAAGAGCTTCTACATGTAATGTGTGTCTGTACTAAATGTTGATAAATGAATCAACATTTTCATCCAGTACGTTTTATCCTGCTGATATCAATATGCTGATGTCCACTAATGTTGTCCAGCTGAATGACTCAGAGATCTTTATAATTAACTTGTGTCTCTCACTCTGTGTGTGTGTGTGTGTGTGTGTTTACAAAATGTTAATGAAAGAAGTTACATTTTAATATTTAATAATTTACCTGAGAGGAGAAAATTCTCCTTTAAAATCAATGGCGATATCTTTTGACAGATCACTCTTGAAGGACACATTGGATGTAGTCGACTTGTCACTGGTTCTAGTTCTGGTGGACGAAAGGGAAAAACCACCAGGGTGGTAAATTAGATTGTGATCCATCAGCCACAGCAACTGCTGATACACAGAAACTACCAAGTAGACATCAGAAAAGTTCAGTAAAAGTTGATTCTGTTCCCACTGAATGATTTCTCTCCTCTTTTTAAAGTAGTTTCCTCTACTTCTCACTTTAACATGAATTATTATTAGATTATTCTAGGACAACAGGAACATTATGAGGGTTATATATTATAATATTTACAGTTGTTGATCTTCAATAAAATAAAGTTCATTGAACTTCAGTGTCAGTGTGGATACAACAGATACAAGTGACAGAAAAGATGAATGTAACTAAACTAAAGAGGTTTTAATGATGTTCACAGCTTCATCAATATATTACGTGTGAAAGAATCTTTATGAGTTTAACAGATTATACTCACTGTTTTCTCTTCTCCTCCTTCCTGCAGAAAGTAATAAACAGTGTTATGAAACTCCTTCATCAGTATGAAAATAAACATTAAAAACTAAAGAAACAGGATTTCAAATATGAGAACAGTGAGTGGAAAAAGACAAAAGAACTTCTACATGTAATGTGTGTCTGTACTAAATGTTGATAAATGAATCAATATTTTAATGTCAGTAAACTCTCAATATTTGGAAGAATTTCTCCTCCAAAAGTTTTACTAACTAATAATCATTGTTTATTGTCCCTGTTACAAACTGTAAGTGCATTTTCCCTCCTCGTCACAAAGAAACAACTGGTGGTTCAATGCAGTTGTGAGTCGCTCTCACATTATAAAGAGAGGGATGGACTCGACTTGTCTTCCTTTGTCTCCAAACATTTCACCTGGATGATGTGTAGATGATGGAGATGTTTGCTGTGTGACTTTGAATGAACCTTTAATGTGAGTAGCAATTTCTTATATTAATTTACATCATATTATGGTATATAAGAGACAGGAAGGTTAGATTTGTTCAATAATATTATGTTGACTTATATGTCAGTCTAATCTTTATTTGAGAAATGTATGATACTTAAATGTGTAAATGTTGAACATGGATTAATGACTGTTTTTTTAGAAATATTGTAATTTGTTCTTTCTTTGTTTAGAACCATGGTTATCATCATCCTAGAAAGGCAACATTGGATTGGTTAATAAATAGATGACTGATGGCAATCCTTGTTTCTTGGTGGTCTGTGGCTCCAGTTAGAAACTTAAACCCACAACAGTTCCAGACTGGATAATCAGACTGATTTCTCTCCTCTTTTTAAAGTAGTTTCCTCTACTTCTCACTTTAACATGAATTATTATTAGATTATTCTAGGACAACAGGAACATTATGAGGGTTATATATTATAATATTTACTGTTGTTGATCTTCAATAAAATAAAGTTGATTGAACTTCAGTGTCAGTGTGGATACAACAGATACAAGTGACAGAAAAGATGAATGTAACTAAACTAAAGAGGTTTTAATGATGTTCACAGCTTCATCAATATATTATGTGTGAAAGAATCTTTATGAAGTTAACAGATTATACTCACCGTTCTTTCTTCACCTCCTCCCTGCAGAAAGTAATAAACAGTGTTATGAAACTCCTTCATCAGTATGAAAATAAACATTAAAAACTAAAGAAACAGGATTTCAAATATGAGAACAGTGAGTGGAAAAGGACAAAAGAGCTTCTACATGTAATGTGTGTCTGTAATAAATGTTGATAAATGAATCAACATTTTAATGTCAGTAAACTCTTCTTTTAGGAGAGGAGTGTCTTTCTTTAAAATGTTTACCTCCGGTCCTACCAGCCTGTTCACCACCTACTATAATCTCATTATGTGTCTAATTACAGTGATTGGAGCTTCAAATACAGGAGATGGTTACCAATATGACACATTTCATAGAGAAAGTTTTACTAACTAATAATCATTGTTTATTGTCCCAGACTGGATAATCAGACTGATTTCTCTCCTCTTTTTAAAGTAGTTTCCTCTACTTCTCACTTTAACATGAATTATTATTAGATTATTCTAGGACAACAGGAACATTATGAGGGTTATATATTATAATATTTACTGTTGTTGATCTTCAATAAAATAAAGTTGATTGAACTTCAGTGTCAGTGTGGATACAACAGATACAAGTGACAGAAAAGATGAATGTAACTAAACTAAAGAGGTTTTAATGATGTTCACAGCTTCATCAATATATTATGTGTGAAAGAATCTTTATGAGGTTAACAGATTATACTCACAGTTTTTTCTTCTCCTCCTTCCTGCAGAAAGTAATAAACAGTGTTATGAAACTCCTTCATCAGTATGAAAATAAACATTAAAAACTAAAGAAACAGGATTTCAAATATGAGAACAGTGAGTGGAAAAAGACAAAAGAGCTTCTACATGTAATGTGTGTCTGTACTAAATGTTGATAAATGAATCAACATTTTCATCCAGTACGTTTTATCCTGCTGATATCAATATGCTGATGTCCACTAATGTTATCCAGCTGCATGACTCAGAGATCTTTATAATTAACTTGTGTCTCTCACTCTGTGTGTGTGTGTACAAAATGTTAATGAATAAAGTTACATTTTAATGTTTGGAAAAATTTACCTGAGAGGAGAAAATTCTCCTTTAAAATCAATGGCGATATCTTTTGACAGATCACTCTTGAAGGACACATTGGATGTAGTCGACTTGTCACTGGTTCTAGTTCTGGTGGACGAGAGGGAAAAACCACCAGGGTGGTAAATTAGATTGTGATCCATCAGCCACAGCAACTGCTGGATACACAGAAACTACCAAGTAGACATCAGAAAAGTTCAGTAAAAGTTGATTCTGTTTCCACTGAATGATTTCTCTCCTCTTTTTAAAGTAGTTTCCTCTACTTCTCACTTTAACATTCATTATTATTAGATTATTCTAGGACAACAGGAACATTATGAGGGTTATATATTATAATATTTACAGTTGTTGATCTTCAATAAAATAAAGTTGATTGAACTTCAGTGTCAGTGTGGATACAACAGATACAAGTGACAGAAAAGATGAATGTAACTAAACTAAAGAGGTTTTAATGATGTTCACAGCTTCATCAATATATTATGTGTGAAAGAATCTTCATGAGGTTAACAGATTATACTCACTGTGCTTTCATCAACTCCTCCCTGCAGAAAGTAATAAACAGTGTTATGAAACTCCTTCATCAGTATGAAAATAAACATTAAAAACTAAAGAAACAGGATTTCAAATATGAGAACAGTGAGTGGAAAAAGACAAAAGAGCTTCTACATGTAATGTGTGTCTGTACTAAATGTTGATAAATGAATCAACATTTTAATGTCAGTAAACTCTCAATATTTGGAAGAATTTCTCCTCCAAAAGTTTTACTAACTAATAATCATTGTTTATTGTCCCTGTTACAAACTGTAAGTGTATTTTTCCTCCTCGTAACAATGAAACAACTGGTGGTTCAATGCAGCTGTGAGTCCCTCTCACATTATAAAGAGAGGAATGGACTCAACTTGTCTTCCTTTGTCTCCAAACATTTCACCTGGATGATGTGTAGATGATGGAGATGTTTGCTGTGTGACTCTGAATGAACCTTTAATGTGAGTAGCAATTTCTTTATATTAATTTACATCATATTATGGTATATAAGAGACAGGAAGGTTAGATTTGTTCAATAATATTATATTGACTTATATGTCAGTCTAATCTTTATTTGAGAGATTTATGATACTTAAATGTGTAAATGTTGAACATGATTTAAAGACTGGATTAATGACTGTTTTTTTAGAAATATTGTAATTTGTTCTTTCTTTGTTTAGAACCATGGTTATCATCATCCTAGAAAGGCAACATTGGATTGGTTAAGAAATAGATGACTGATGGCAATCCTTGTTTCTTGGTGGTCTGTGGCTCCAGTTAGAAACTTAAATCCACAACAGTTCCAGACTGGATAATCAGACTGATTCCTCTCCTCTTTTTAAAGTAGTTTCCTCTACTTCTCACTTTAACATGAATTATTATTAGATTATTCTAGGACAACAGGAACATTATGAGGGTTATATATTATAATATTTACTGTTGTTGATCTTCAATAAAATAAAGTTGATTGAACTTCAGTGTCAGTGTGGATACAACAGATACAAGTGACAGAAAAGATGAATGTAACTAAACTAAAGAGGTTTTAATGATGTTCACAGCTTCATCAATATATTATGTGTGAAAGAATCTTTATGAAGTTAACAGATTATACTCACCGTTCTTTCTTCATCTCCTTCCTGCAGAAAGTAATAAACAGTGTTATGAAACTCCTTCATCAGTATGAAAATAAACATTAAAAACTAAAGAAACAGGATTTCAAATATGAGAACAGTGAGTGGAAAAAGACAAAAGAGCTTCTACATTTAATGTGTGTCTGTACTAAATGTCGATAAATGAATCAACATTTTAATGTCAGTAAACTCTCAATATTTGGAAGAATTTCTCCTCCAAAAGTTTTACTAACTAATAATCATTGTTTATTGTCCCTGTAACAGACTGTAAGTGTATTTGCCCTCCTCGTCACAATGAAACAACTGGTGGTTCAATGCAGTTGTGAGTCGCTCTCACATTATAAAGAGAGGGATGGACTCGAGTTGTCTTCCTTTGTCTCCAAACATTTCACCTGGATGATGTGTAGATGATGGAGATGTTTGCTGTGTGACTTTTAATGAACCTTTAATGTGTTTAGCAATTTCTTTATATTAATTTACATCATATTATGGTATATAAGAGACAGGAAGGTTAGATTTGTTCAATAATATTATATTGACTTATATGTCAGTCTAATCTTTATTAGAGAGATTTATGATACTTAAATGTGTAAATGTTGAACATGATTTAAAGACTGGATTAATGACTGTCTTTTAGAAATATTGTAATTTGTTCTTTCTTTGTTTAGAACCATGGTTATCATCATCCTAGAAAGGCAACATTGGATTGGTTAATAAATAGATGTCTGATGGCAATCCTTGTTTCTTGGTGGTCTGTGGCTCCAGTTAGAAACTTAAATCCACAACAGTTCCAGACTGGATAATCAGACTGATTTCTCTCCTCTTTTTAAAGTAGTTTCCTCTACTTCTCACTTTAACATGAATTATTATTAGATTATTCTAGGACAACAGGAACATTATGAGGGTTATATATTATAATATTTACTGTTGTTGATCTTCAATAAAATAAAGTTGATTGAACTTCAGTGTCAGTGTGGATACAACAGATACAAGTGACAGAAAAGAAGAATGTAACTAAACTAAAGAGGTTTTAATGATGTTCACAGCTTCATCAATATATTATGTGTGAAAGAATCTTTATGAGGTTAACAGATTATACTCACCGTTCTTTCTTCAACTCCTCCCTGCAGAAAGTAATAAACAGTGTTATGAAACTCCTTCATCAGTATGAAAATAAACATTAAAAACTAAAGAAACAGGATTTCAAATATGAGAACAGTGAGTGGAAAAGGACAAAAGAGCTTCTACATGTAATGTGTGTCTGTAATAAATGTTGATAAATGAATCAACATTTTAATGTCAGTAAACTCTTCTTTTTAGGAGAGGAGTGTCTTTCTTTAAAATGTTTACCTCCGGTCCTACCAGCCTGTTCACCACCTACTATAATCTCATTATGTGTCTAATTACAGTGATTGGAGCTTCAAATACAGGAGATGGTTACCAATATGACACATTTCATAGAGAAAGTTTTACTAACTAATAATCATTGTTTATTGTCCCAGACTGGATAATCAGACTGATTTCTCTCCTCTTTTTAAAGTAGTTTCCTCTACTTCTCACTTTAACATGAATTATTATTAGATTATTCTAGGACAACAGGAACATTATGAGGGTTATATATTATAATATTTACAGTTGTTGATCTTCAATAAAATAAAGTTGATTGAACTTCAGTGTCAGTGTGGATACAACAGATACAAGTGACAGAAAAGATGAATGTAACTAAACTAAAGAGGTTTTAATGATGTTCACAGCTTCATCAATATATTATGTGTGAAAGAATCTTCATGAGCTTAACAGATTATACTCACTGTTTTTTCTTCTCCTCCTTCCTGCAGAAAGTAATAAACAGTGTTATGAAACTCCTTCATCAGTATGAAAATAAACATTAATAACTAAAGAAACAGGATTTCAAATATGAGAACAGTGAGTGGAAAAAGACAAAAGAGCTTCTACATGTAATGTGTGTCTGTACTAAATGTTGATAAATGAATCAATATTTTAATGTCAGTAAACTCTCAATATTTGGAAGAATTTATCCTCCAAAAGTTTTACTAACTAATAATCATTGTTTATTGTCCCTGTTACAAACTGTAAGTGCATTTTCCCTCCTCGTCACAAAGAAACAACTGGTGGTTCAATGCAGTTGTGAGTCGCTCTCACATTATAAAGAGAGGGATGGACTCGACTTGTCTTCCTTTGTCTCCAAACATTTCACCTGGATGATGTGTAGATGATGGAGATGTTTGCTGTGTGACTTTTAATGAACCTTTAATGTGAGTAGCAATTACTTTATATTAATTTACATCATATTATGGTACATAAGAGACAGGAAGGTTAGATTTGTTCAATAATATTATGTTGACTTATATGTCAGTCTAATCTTTATTTGAGAAATGTATGATACTTAAATGTGTAAATGTTGAACATGGATTAATGACTGTTTTTTTAGAAATATTGTAATTTGTTCTTTCTTTGTTTAGAACCATGGTTATCATCATCCTAGAAAGGCAACATTGAATTGGTTGATAAATGGATGACTGATGGCAATCCTTGTTTCTTGGTGGTCTGTGGCTCCAGTTAGAAACCTAAATCCACAACAGTTCCAGACTGGATAATCAGACTGATTTCTCTCCTCTTTTTGAAGTAGTTTTCCACTACTTCTCACTTTAACATGAATTATAATTAGATTATTCTAGGACAACAGGAACATTATGAGGGTTATATATTATAATATTTACTGTTGTTGACCTTCAATAAAATAAAGTTCATTGAACTTCAGTGTCAGTATGGATACAACAGATACAAGTGACAGAAAAGATGAATGTAACTAAACTAAAGAGGTTTTAATGATGTTCACAGCTTCATCAATATATTATGTGTGAAAGAATCTTTATGAGGTTAACAGATTATACTCACATTTGTTTTCTCTTCATCTCCTCCCTGCAGAAAGTAATAAACAGTGTTATGAAACTCCTTCATCAGTATGAAAATAAACATTAAAAACTAAAGAAACAGGATTTCAAATATGAGAACAGTGAGTGGAAAAAGACAAAAGAGCTTCTACATGTAATGTGTGACTGTACTAAATGTTGATAAATGAATCAACATTTTAATGTCAGTAAACTCTTCTTTTTAGGAGAGGAGTGTCTTTCTTTAAAATGTTTACCTCCGGTCCTACCAGCCTGTTCACCACCTACTATAATCTCATTATGTGTCTAATTACAGTGATTGGAGCTTCAAATACAGGAGATGGTTACCAATATGACACATTTCATAGAGAAAGTTTTACTAACTAATAATCATTGTTTATTGTCCCAGACTGGATAATCAGACTGATTTCTCTCCTCTTTTTAAAGTAGTTTCCTCTACTTCTCACTTTAACATGAATTATTATTAGATTATTCTAGGACAACAGGAACATTATGAGGGTTATATATTATAATATTTACAGTTGTTGATCTTCAATAAAATAAAGTTGATTGAACTTCAGTGTCAGTGTGGATTCAGCAGATACAAGTGACAGAAAAGATGAATGTAACTAAACTAAAGAGGTTTTAATGATGTTCACAGCTTCATCAATATATTATGTGTGAAAGAAACTTCATGAGGTTAGCAGATTATACTCACTGTTTTTTCTTCTCCTCCTTCCTGCAGAAAGTAATAAACAGTGTTATGAAACTTTATTGTCCCAGACTGGATAATCAGACTGATTTCTCTCCTCTTTTAAAGTAGTTTCCTCTACTTCTCACTTTAACATGAATTATTATTAGATTATTCTAGGACAACAGGAACATTATGAGGGTTATATATTATAATATTTACAGTTGTTGATCTTCAATAAAATAAAGTTGATTGAACTTCAGTGTCAGTGTGGATACAACAGATACAAGTGACAGAAAAGATGAATGTAACTAAACTAAAGAGGTTTTAATGATGTTCACAACTTCATCAATATATTATGTGTGAAAGAAACTTCATGAGGTTAGCAGATTATACTCACTGTTTTTTCTTCTCCTCCTTCCTGCAGAAAGTAATAAACAGTGTTATGAAACTTTATTGTCCCAGACTGGATAATCAGACTGATTTCTCTCCTCTTTTAAAGTAGTTTCCTCTACTTCTCACTTTAACATGAATTATTATTAGATTATTCTAGGACAACAGGAACATTATGAGGGTTATATATTATAATATTTACTGTTGTTGATCTTCAATAAAATAAAGTTGATTGAACTTCAGTGTCAGTGTGGATTCAACAGATACAAGTGACAGAAAAGATGAATGTAACTAAACTAAAGAGGTTTTAATGATGTTCACAGCTTCATCAATATATTATGTGTGAAAGAAACTTCATGAGGTTAGCAGATTATACTCACTGTTTTTTCTTCTCCTCCTTCCTGCAGAAAGTAATAAACAGTGTTATGAAACTTTATTGTCCCAGACTGGATAATCAGACTGATTTCTGTCCTCTTTTTAAAGTAGTTTCCTCTACTTCTCACTTTAACATGAATTATTATTAGATTATTCTAGGACAACAGGAACATTATGAGGGTTATATATTATAATATTTACATTGCTGATTCAGACTCATGCATTGAGGTTGTTATCTACTGGTGGTCAATAATAACTCTGCGTCTGTTACAACACACGTGTTTCTGTGTAATAACATTTTGAGAAAAGACAGTTGATTTGACTTTAGTGTCTGTCAGTGTGGATACCAGTGAAATTAAATTAGTGTCAAACACTGACAAACAGCAAGTATTTGTCTAAACAGATCACACAGCAATAGCAGCGTGTTAGCTAACATAGATATTAAAGTGATAAAGTAACACAATGATGACTTACACTGTAGAACGACTTGTTGAGCCCCCCATAATTATATTGGCTCCTGGTGAGTCTGGGCTGTAACACACACACACACACACACACACACACACACACACACACACACACACACACACACACACACACACACACACACAGAGGTTTGAGTAAAGATGGTGGAGAGCTGAGTGCTGATCTGTGACTCTGTGATGTAGTTCACACAGAGAGGTTTCAGAAGGAGAACCTCCTCCTCTGTGTCCTCACACTGACTCACTGCAGTAACTGCAGGTACATTAGACACAGTGAGAACAACCTACAGCGACTGTATGAGCACTCTGACTGCATCCCTTTGTGCAATAATATCTACATTTTATATGAGAACTCATTTATCACTTATACTGAGAGACCATCTGAATGTGAGATGTTACATTCTGATTTATTCTTATGACAAACTGATATTTAATTCCAATATATAATATATAATTTCCCAGGCAAACTTGAGCTTTAGTATTACATTATTTCAAATAAAGCCCTAAAATCAAATAATAGGTAACACTGAATTTACCACTAATACCTGTGCGCTGAACAGGAATGGTTAACAACAAGTTAACTAACATAGATACTATAGTTATAAAGAAAACACACACACACAGATTTGAGTAAAGATGGTGGAGAGCTGAGTGCTGATTTCCCAGAACAACATGTAATTAAACTAATAGTTAAACTATATTCAACACTTTAGTTTTACACTGTGATTGTGTTTCCTTTATTGTCTGAACAAAGTGTTTCATTATAGATTTCCACTTTCACATTCAAACTGGCTGAACAACATTTGTGGACACAAAGTTATTTGGCATCTCTTAAAACCACTTTAAGATCTTTCTCTAGGATTACAAACAGGAAACACACTGATTTAAAAACATGTTAATGTGCAGTTAATAATAAATACAGTACGTAGTGTTTGCAACTAAAACATTTACATGTCTTACAGTTTTGTCCTTGAGGAAAGCCCATATGGGACTGACTCATTTTTTTGGTGTTCCAGGAAGCTCGATTGTTTAGTTGATTTTTTCTCATTTAAACCACAGAAATAACTGTCAAAAGCAGATTATAGTGTTGAAGTTAAACAAAATAACTGAAATAACTGAAAAAATACTTCTTATGTAGCTTCATCACTCTTTCCAAGAAGAAAAAAATAAAGAACACATTTATTTCCTGTTTTTAGACAAAAAAAACTAAAGTCTGACCCGTTGTTTTTAAGTTGTTCAAGTTGATGGTATGATGATGGTGATATGATATAATGATACATGGACCCTGAAGATAAATTTAATTAAAGTATAGAAAACATGTAGTTACTTTACCTTTAGATGGTGAAAAACAAACTGCGTCACAGGTACAGGACACACAGAAGTGAAACCTGTTTAACTGTGATAAGACACCAGGTTGGTATCCAACAATAATACGAACACAGTCACACCCTGATTCAGTTCAACCCCCACAGCAACATACTGACAGGTTGAGGGGCTGACAGAACAAACCAAACAGATTCTGAAATATCATTTATTCTCTCTATCCAACAGGCAGCTGCACAACCTTTATGTGTGTATGTGTAACTGAGTACATTCAAGTATTGTAATCAAGTACAATGTTGAGTGTTTTCTTTTCATTCATGCTGGTCACTGCAACCCAGTACCCTAAAGTAAGACACACACACATGCAGCAAACCCTCTTTTCCTGTTCCTGCTGTTTGGTTGATATTTAATCCAACAGTTTATGTAATTAGCAACAGTGCACAGATGTAATGCAGTCAGTAGTTATAAAGGATAAGACAGGTAATGGTAAAAGATTATACAGTAGAGGGGGAGGGGTGTTTTGTTTCTGTTCAGGGTTTAGTCTGTTCAAAAAAGAAACATGTTTTAAAGTTGACTTAAATGTATTTGCAGTTGTTAACATGTTGGATAAGGTATTGTCTTTGTGAATGGTTTGAATGATGTAATTGATACAGTCTTTTTAATAGACGGAGCCAGCAGGATAAAAGGGGGCCTGTGGCTGATCTGGACTGACAGAGAAAGACAGACAAACCCCCACAGAACCTAGCTCCTGCCCTGAGCCCATTTAATGTTTATAAATGACTCTTACTGAGGTGTGTGTGAGTGCTGGTGGCTGTCTGACAGCCTCAGAGCTGTTTGTCATTGTTCAGATGTTGCACTTACCGACCAGGCAAACCACAGGAAACACAAGATAAAGGTTTGTTCAAACTAAGTTTATAATACAGATAGTATTGATCTCCAAACAGACACTTTAGTTTTACACTGTGATTATGTTTCCTTTATTGTCTGAACAAAGTGTTTTATTATAGATTTCTACATTCCAACTGGCTGAAAAACATTTGTGGACACAAAGGCATTTGGCATCTCTTAAAACCACTTTAAGTTCTTTCTCCATGATTACAAACAGGGAACACACTGATTTAAAAACATGTTGATGTGCAGTTAATAATACTTAGTTAAATACAGCACATAGTGTTAGCAACTGAAGTGTAACAGTGCATTTATAATCTGTGTGTTAACTCAGTTGTTCTGACATTGATTAATCCCCAATATAGAAATTCTTTTTTCACTCTTCCTTTACACACAGGCCTTAAATACAATCATGCACATGCAGGGCTTATAGACATTCAAATGTGGAGTGATGGGCTGCCACGTAGCGGCGCTCTGTGAGCAGTTAGGGGTTGGGGTGCCTTGCTCAAGTGCACCTCAGCAGTGCACCTCTCCAGCTGCCAGCCCACACTCCATACAGTGGCCCATTTGGGCTGTCATGTTGTCCATGCAGAGACCTCCCCAGTCTCCTCATGTTGATTCATTGCACCTGCAGAGCAAACAGAAGTCCCATTCACAGGATTTTTATGCCAAAGAGTCGGCGAGCAAAATCCTTCTCTGCTGCTTCGTTTGTCAAATAGAACTGAGCTGATGAAAACTGGAAGGAAGGAGCTGAAAAAATACAGATACAATTTCAAATGCTGAAAAGAGGAGGCAAATATTCAGAAATACATCCTTTAAGAATGTCGCTATGAAGTTTACTAACTATGGAAGCACATTTCTAACCAATGCAATAAAAAA